TGAGAATTTGTGATGGGGCCTATGGTCTCAAGACAAGGTGACCAATGGTCACCCTGGTGAGACTAAGTGAGGTAGCCCACATTGAATTGACCAGAACCCAACCAGATGAAGAGAAGAATTTTGAGCCTATGAATTGGTGCATATTATTGCAGATTTTATGGATGGCCTGTCCTGATTTGACTTTGCTTATGCATGTGGATTTCTAAGGTCCAACTGGAATGAAGATTCTTCACATCAAAGAATATAATTGTCTCCTCAGAGCACTAGGTTAATATAAGTGGGCAGTATAGAAATTGGATACCCAACATTGGGCAGATAAAGGCATAAAGTGGCTGGCTTATAAACTTTCATAGGTAGAAGAATATTTTCATATGATTAAGGCGTAGGTGTTACTTAACTGCAACTGCTAAGCATAGAATATTGTTATGTGGTTCACTTATAGAATATTATGTTTAAATGAGGCTTTGACACATATTGAATTATATTTTCATTTTATCCTATTAGGTACAGATATGATTGTATTGTTCATTTGAAAATTATATATGGCTAAAGAGTGTGAAAGTGTCAAATTGATAAGAGGTGTTCTGTGGTAGTTAGATAATCTATTGTCAATTTGAGTATTAAGTGTTTAGGACTGGAGTTCAGTCTGTCAATCAGTAGAGATTGATGATCTCATTTGGAGCCGCTAAGGAGATAAATAGCTCACTGGAGGCAGGAGATAGACTCACTCCCTGAGAGATGCTCAACTGACAAGACACATGGCACTACACTGATAGAGCCCATGTCCTGGGAACTGACGAAGCCAGGTGGAGACCCCTGCTAGCACTGAGTTGCTTATGCCACTGGATCCACAAGACTTCCCACCCACTGGCCTGTGTTCTTCCTGCATTTTGCATCATTGCTTGTGTTTCATGCATCTGAAGAGGACTTTATGCCTTGGTATTGGACATGGACTTGATCTGGACTGGGCGAGGTTGTTTTCTCAATATGCAATTGCTCTTATATATACAGCTCTTTCTTATACACACATGAGTCTCTTTGAATTTATTTCTCTAGTCTAAACAGACTAACACAAAATCTATCTTCTCAGAGATTAACTTTGCTACCCCTGCTTTCTTTGGGTTGCTATTTGCTTGGTATATTTTTGTCCAGCCTCTGATTTTTAGTCTGTTCATGTCTTTGTGAGATGTTTCTTGTAGCCAGCATAGTGATGGATTTTATTTTCTTATCCATTCTGCTACTCTCTGTCTCTTTACTGGTGCATTTGTTCCATTAACATTCTGTGAAATTATGCATATGTATTTGTTACTGCTATTTTCCTTTATATATGTGTGTGCTGTGTGTTTAGTTTCTTTGTTCTTCTTGTATTATTTCCTTGCTTTGGATGTTGCTTTGTGTGTGCAGGTTTTTGTGAAGAATTGTCTTGTATGTTGGTTTCAGGTGTGTGTGCTGCTGCTGGTTTGGGGCCATAGTATTTCATTGAGTATTTTTTTGTAATGGTGGCTTTATTTTTGTGACTTTTTAAAATTTCTCCTTGTTTTGGAATACTTTCATTTCTCCATAATATTTAAGTGATAACTTTGCTGCATACAAGATTCTAGGTTGACAGTTTTTTGCCCAGTACTCTGTGTACGTCACTCCACTATCTTCTTGCCTGCATGGTTTCCACCGAGAAATCTGAGGTTATTCCAGTTTCTGACACTTTGAACATAACTGAACTTTTTTCTCTGGCTACTTAGTATTTGTTCCCTTGTTACCAACGTTAGATATCTGGAGTAAAGTGCACTAAGGAGTTTTCCTTTGGGGATCTCCCCTGGTTTGGGTTCTTTCAGCTTCCTGAATAGTTATCTTTTCGTCCTTTAGCTACTGAGGAAAGTTCTCTTGCTGTTCTCAGTGTGGATTTCATTTTTCTTCTTCCTCTTCTGGAATCGCTGTGAGATGCGGTTGCTCCTTTTAGTTGTGTCCCACCTTGTTCTCAAGGTCGTGTCCGTCTCTTTTGTCTTTCTCGTGATTTGTTCTTTTTTATGTTGGAACTGGTATATTTATCTTCTAGCCCGCTAATTTAGGTTTCCGTCTCTTCAAATATGTTTCTCTATTCTTTCATACATTCTACTGTTTCTTTATAGTGTTGTTTAATTCTGCTATTTCAGTGTTAGATTTTTGTGTCTGCTTGGAAGTTTTCTTCTATAGCATATAGTGAGGTTACTAGCTTTTCTATTGTTTAACTCTTTCTCCCAGACTCTTCCTTCAACTGTTGCACAAATATAGTCATCATTCATTTAAATTATTTTTCTGGTACTGCATATACTCGTGCATAAGCCCAGTTTTTTCAGCACATTTCTAATGCAGTTTTAATGCACTGCATTTTTAATGCAGTGGTAAAATTAGGTGCCTCAGCAGATATTTGGGTTGGCCTATACTGGAGTATATATGGTATATCCATAGCCTGTTTAATTGCAGGCATTACATTTAGGTCTTGTTGGTATTTGGTTATTTGTTACTATTTCTCTTGGTTTTTTGTGTGCACCGATATCTTCTTTTGCTTTCTTGACATCTTGGCATTGCTATTCGTGGTGTTAGGGAGGTGGTTCTCTGTGGAAGTGGTTAATTCTATTTGGTGATGCAGTAGAGGGGTTATGGACAGCTTATTGTAAGTATCTGGAGTAGAGTGTTAGATTAGGTGTTGGGGGAGCAATCAGACAGTAGGGCAGGAAGTGTTAGGGAAGAGAGAGAGACAGAAATAAGGTGTAAAGAAATGGGAGGAATCAGGCAGTGTTATTTCATAGGTTAAAGGAATGGAGATTAGACCCAAAAAAAAGGTCTGATTAGTAATAATGGTGGAATGGGTACTAAATTTGACAGGAAAAAAAGTCTAAGATTGGGCGCTGCGCTGAGTTGTACCTCAGGAATGGTGGGTTCATTTTGCTGAGTTAGGCTGGAGCTTGCTGGTCGTGTGAAGAGTTGGTCTGTTCACTAGTTACGCCTGCTCCAGGATGCCCAATAGAACTCCTCACATGATGTTCATTCATAGAAGGAATAGGATGTAGGTGCTCAGGAGTAGGTTCTAAGTGGTAATATTAATCATGAAATGCCTTCCTGTTAAGTATTGTACTTTTTGAAGAGTTAGATCAGAGGGTTATAGGAGATGTGTTGTTACTTAGTTGATTTTAAGAGAGTTTAGTGTGTGTTCCTGGTGGGAGAATCATTAAGGTGTGTTACTGATGTGGGGGAAGTGGAGTCTTGAGGGAATGTTGGTTGGGGTGGGTGAGGGATATATTAAGCAATCTACCAGTATCATTCATCAACCCTGGATTTTATATAGGGAAAGTGGAGTCCTTCTCTTATTGTGCTTGTAGCAGAAGGCCCTTTTAGTGTGAGTTTATACACAACTCAGTACTTGTGCCCTTCATGTGTGGTTCCAGGGTTGAAATGGGCTATTGGATTGGGGACCCAAGGTGGAGGGAGAGGGGGGACTTCCAATTAGGAGATGGTACTGCTAAGGACAGTGAGTCCTTACTTAAGTTCGTTGTTACATCAGACATACAGAGAAAGGTTGCAAAGTGTAAAATACAGGGCATACCAAATATTGAGGTCTATTTCAGGGAAATTGGATAGTCCTTTTTCAAACTCCAGTAAAGCCCTCATCACATGGTGTATGAAAGCAAGTGATGAACAATATAGCAGTGCATATCCCACAGCGAGCCACCAACTGCACTTACTTGGCATATAAAGAACATAGAGATTGATGCATTCCATCACAGTCACTAGAAAGGGTTTTCTTCTGTTAAATAATGTATCTGGTTTGATATTGTTCCCATTGTGGGCTTTTTGGTTAGCCAAAGAGAAAACTTTTGAAATTTTATTTTCTAATCTAAAATAGCTAAATTCAAAATAATAGCTTAGTATCTCATCTGCCTTTCCTTTTAATATGGTTTTAAAAGCAAGTCAGTGATCTTCCTACTTTAAGTCAGAAGCCAGGTGTTAAACTTGAATGCAAATTTACTATTATATTTGTAGGGGGGTACATCTACTTGGTCCTTGTCCATGTGACAGATATTTGTTTTTCTTTCTTATTGCTTTCCATTCCTTCTTGTTAACACAATGAAGACTAGGGGTAGTGTATTAGTCTGGGTACTTTGGAGAAACAAATCCACAAAAACTCATGTATAAGAGAGTTTTATATAAAGGTTAAGTGAGCATCAAGAAAACATCCCAACCCAGTGCTGCCCAAGCCCACAAGTCCAACATTAACCCATATGTCTGACACCAATCCACAAAGTCCTCCTCCATCTCACAAAACAGACACAACGATGCCGACTGCAGGAGGAAAGCCAAGTCAGTGAATGTGTAAGCATCTCAGCACTGACAGGGGTCTCCACACGGCTGCTCCAGCACCCAGGGCTTCATCGGGGTAGGTCCCTGTGGCTTCTCCTTGGGGATGTCTTGCAGGAAGTCAGCCTTGCAAGCTGAAGCAGGGAACTGCTAAGGCAGCTGCCCCCTGTTCCAACCATCACAAAGCAAGAGACCCGAGAACTAGAAAGGCGAGGCTCACTGAGCCATTTATCCCTCCGCCCTTCAATTAATCCCACATGTGTTTATTGGCCAGGTTGGCACAATAAACTAACTCAGGTAGCCTTGTTGGGAAAGCACCTTCTCTGTCTAGCCATGTGCCGGGATGTTGATCTGACCATGCTCAGGAGGAAGCCGAGGTGGGCTCCAGCATGACCCATGCTGGCCAACAGTGTTTGCAATGACAGAGTTCTAACATATGGATGGCTTCCACTGTGTTCAAACCACAGGCAATGTTGCCGTTTTGGAAGCATTTTGGTATGTATAACATACAAAATCCTCTTGGCTTAAAATATTATTGATATCTACCATGTAAACGAGAAGAGAAAAACGGACTTTCAAAACGTCACGTTATGAGCAAATGCTTGTGACTATTGTAATGTGACTAACTTTGTTGTATTCTTTCCATACATTCTCTCTTTCCTTCCCAGAACACTTGAAGGATAAATTAGAAGAATACATGTCCCGATTTTCCAAAGTGAGGATTGTTCGCACCAAGAAAAGGGAAGGGCTTATCCGGACAAGACTCTTGGGTGCCTCCATGGCGAGAGGAGAAGTCCTGACATTCCTGGACTCCCACTGTGAGGTTAATGTGAACTGGCTGCCTCCACTCCTTAGTAAGTACTCAGAATCCCACAGCATGCTGGGACTTTGCCAGGCTTCAGGGCTTGTTTCTGAGCAGTGTAGCATTAACAAAGCTAGAGGTCCCTCTTGTTGAGCATGGGGATGTTGGATTTTTGCCTAAACTGCAGTTGAAGCCAAAAAGATAACTAGAAAACTACCTTAAAATGAGCATTTCGGTTAACCCCCAAACCAATCTAATTTGAGATTTTTAAAACGTTCATGTTTCTTTAAGAAGCCCTCTTGTAGTTTTGGTTGCTGGATAATGGTGTAAGAAAAACAAATTCCAAAGAATGTTAATAACTACAGTAAGAATAAAACACACATGCACGCACAACATTTAAGCTGTATTATGCAATTGTTAGGGACTGAGGACAGGATGTGATTCAGTCCCCGAATACAGTTGACGCATAAGCACAATGATATCTACTAGGCATTATTCTAGTCACTTTCCGTTCATTTTCTCTCCGTCTCTGGTACCAACCTATCGACCCCCCTTAAAAGGCCCTCAAGAATTCCTAAATTTTAGTCCAGGTATCCATCCTGCATACTCACAAATTGGCTGTGAGGAAGAAAAAGAAGCTGTCACGTTGCACTGGAACCGGTAGAAACAGGAAAAACTGAAAGTTGCTCAAGCTAAGAAATACATACATGGCCCAGTTAAAGCTCTACAATTGGGGGGTTTTCTGTTCAGCTTTGTCTTGTGATAAATTCACATCTATAAAGCCAAGTAGTGGATAAGAAATGTGCAGAAGTTTTCCAGAGTTTACTTTTCACGGTTTCATTTTTCCAAAGGACCTCCATTAGTACCTGTATTCACTAACCTCAAGAAATCAGAAAAAGATGTTTGCTTTTATTCAAAAGGGCAAAAAGGCACATGGTGCTCAGCATTCATTTCACCATGAGCAGCTGAAGAGAGAGCAAGCATCCCTAACAGGGAGAGTAGCATAGCCCAGCTCCTTCCCCAGGGAATATACCCAGCATCTCAGCATCAAGCAGCCATAGCTCTGACCTGTGTCTCTGAGCACTGCCTGTTAGTGGTCTCTTAGCTTGTCTGTATCGTATGGAATGATTTCATAGGTTACTGTTTAGTCTTGGGGAAAAAACCAATTTTTCCCATCTAAATGAATGGTAATAGCTTTTTAGTTGTGTACCTTATTGGCTTTAAAAAGGTTCGACAGGAATGCTTCACTTTTAGGTAGTGCAAACCTGAACGGAAAAAAAATATGTGTTTCTAAAATGTTTTGGGCACACACATGATGTGGCCCTTCCTATTCTTTCAGATTTTATTCTATAATAAAATCACCTTTTATCGTAAATATATCCCTGGCCTTGCAGCTAAAACCAGTAACAACTGCCTTCACAATAGCTGTCTCTGAAAGAATGATTTGTTATTGACTACTGTGCAGGATTTCAGCTGGAACCAGGAAAGCTCCATTAGTAAAAGCTGTGGGGAGAAAATCAATGGAAACTGTATACGATGTAAAGCAGAAACAACCAGTAACATCCCTGCCACATCACCCTGATACACACCCCTCCTTAGTCGACTGCCCAGCCATCCTAATCAAGAGGAAGGTTTGAGAACTCTAACAGCCCCAGACAGACTCCTGAAATCCTTTAATTAAAAGTACCTTGTCCAAGGACACAGCAATTTAGAGTTTCATCAGCCACGGGGAGCGTCCCTCAATCTGAATGTGACCTATATGGTATTGCATCCTGGAAAAGTCAGCAAAGGTTCTAATGTATTATGAACCAAACCAATCCCTACATGTCAATGTCTCTGATTGTTCATTATTAACCCAACAACCAAAAAAAGAATAGAGAAGCCCCCCTCTTCTCATTAAAGCCTTTCATTTCCTGCAGGTCTGAGGGATAAAAAATGATTCCATCTCGGGATCACTATCTTTTCTGATTTCCCTCTCTCAGTGTCTTGACACATCATCCAAAATGAACATACAGGTGGCGTCAGAGGGTTTCTTGGTTCATTTTTCACCTTGGGATTATACCTGAATTTCAATTTCCCATTAAGAGTCTGTTTGTTTGATCCCTGGAAATTGAAATGTAGGCACAAGCCTTGGATGAAAAATTAGTCATGCCGCTTCCACCCTCCGCTGGCCCAGCTGGGTGAGAGCGGAAAGGAAATGTGAAAGGAAAGTTGACAGTTAATTTAACAGACTCATTCTCTTTGGGTCACCTTGGGACTCCTTGTTGGTCAAGGACCTTGTAAATCAATCTGATTCCGAATTTGATTGAAGCAAGTCACTGGAACCTGAATACTAAACCCTCCGCAGAGGTGATGGGAGAAATATTGGAGAGTCAGGAAATGATGGCTTCCTCTGTCTAAAATGTCTGTGGGGAAACACTAGCCAGAAAAAGATTAAATCCCATTTAAGGCTTGCCAAGGGGGAAATGGATGCTCTGAGTTTTGTGGGTAGGGCTTGACTTGAAATAGTCCGTGAGGATCCGTGTCCTCCAGGCTCTCTGATCCTACTGGGGGATCCTGTCAAACACTGCAAGCCCTTCCACACCCTGCCTCTTTGTGTCCCTTTGTTGCTGCTGTTGAGTACTATTGAGTGGATTCTAACTCATAGTGACCCCATGTGACGGAGAACTTCCCCGTCGTGTCACCATGGCTGTAATCTTTACAGGAGCCGATGGCCCGAGGAGCCACTGCAAGGCCTCCAGCCTCTAATCTTTTAGTTTACAGACGAGTGCTTAACTGTTAGTGCCACTAGAGCTTCTTGGAAAAACAGCCCATCTCAAAGATCAGTGGCACGATACAATTTGGCAGAAGCTCTGGCAAAGCAGAGTGCCAGGAATTACTTGCATGATCTATCAGCATGCGGTGGGTTGACGGTGCAGTTTGGGAGGGGGTTTAATGTCACTGTGACTGTTATAAGAGTAGATGCTAAAAAATCTTGAAGTTAAAGAATTACATTTTGGAACCTCCAGAAAGGAAGCCAATATGCTCTCAGCAGGCGCTGGGTACATGCTTGAAGGAACACAAGTACAGTTTGTGTTCTGTGAGAGCATGCTGGATGCATGCTACAATGACAGATTGGGGACAGGGCAGAGCAAATGGACTTCTGCAAGTCTCTCTGGGACATAACTTTCTTCAAGGAAAATACAACAGCTCTAATTGTACCTAATCACTGTCCCTTCCTGTTAAGTCCAGCATCCAAACCGAGATTCCTGCAAAGTGCTTTAAAAATGACAGGGAACTGGGCTGTAAGCATTATGCATTAGCAGGGATCCGCGGGCGTCTCGGCGGAGAAATGATAGATGGCCTGAGCCGGCATGTCATTTCCTATTTTGCGCTTTCATTTTTCAGACCAAATTGCACTAAACCACAAAACCATCGTGTGCCCTATGATCGATGTCATTGACCACAATCACTTTGGGTACGAGGCACAAGCTGGCGATGCCATGCGAGGAGCCTTCGACTGGGAGATGTACTACAAAAGAATCCCCATCCCTCCAGAGCTCCAGAGGGCAGATCCCAGCGACCCTTTTGAGTGAGTAGCAGCTAAGGGAGGGGTCGGAAAGAGGGCAGGCAACTCCTTCCAGGTGTGCCATGCCTGGGACCAATGATGACAATTATCTCTAATCGATGGAATAAAACAGGTGGCAGCAGTATGCAACCCATTGGAGAAAGGTCAGACCTGCACGTGGTCAAAAGTCACAAGCTGTGCTGAAGGCCTGGGCTGGCCCCTCTCACACTTGGTCAAATGTGTGAGAGACTTGGAAGGTGTGCCGATGTGAGACACAAGAAAATGCGTCCCAAACAGAAAATACACAGAGTAGAAATGGACAAGCACTGGTCTGATATTTCCTTAGATACTCTCTTTGTGGTTTCCTTTCTCCTTGTCATCATTAGCTTTCCCTAAAGAACAAAACTGTTGTTTTGTTCATGAGAATTCAGGGGAACCAGTGTGTAAGTCGATATTCTGTCCCCTGATAGGAATAGGTTATTTATCCTAGAAGGCACTACTCCTGAGAAGGTGGTCCCAGAGTTTAAATTTGGGAAGTTCAATCAAAATGACATATCCTGTAAACAGCCATTGGTAACGCTGGCCCTTCATTTAAGGGCTTCATAGAAAAAAATTTGTAATAGCCATTGGATGATTTCTGCAGAACTAGGCCCATGTCTTTTAGAGTGGATGTAATTATGATAATATCAAGAAAGAAGGGGAGAAAGCTTACTTAGCAAACTAGCAGGATCATTAATAGTGAACTTTCTCCCCAAATTAGCCCAGAGACGGGCCAAGGCATACCCTATCCATTCCTTATATGCACTTTTTTGAAATATTAGGACTTTTATCATTCTAAATCTAGGTTTTGCACATTCAATGGGAGCCAATTTAAAATGTATTAAAAGAAACATCATTTAACAGCATAAAAGTTTGCAGTAGATTCTGTTATAATAAGCAAAAAAATCCCTGACACTGACATCTTAAATTATAACAAACATTCAATAAACACGGGGGGCGGGTTGGGGGGGGGGGACGTTTCTAGTCTCTAGAAATATGAACTCCTGAGAAAGCGAAAGGGATTTCAGGTGACATTCACCTTATGAATAAAGAAATGATTTCTTTCTCAATATGAAACACACCCATTTAGAGTCCAGAGCTTCAGGAGTTCGGCCTCTCCACATTCTCCAGTTACTGTAAAGTTTTAGAGGAGAAAGCATGAAGGCCTTTTGTTACTCTCCTCGACGCTTTGGCTTCATCGAGGAAATTCAAAAATACTAGAAAGTGGTGGGGTTTCGTTTTGCGTGTGCGGTGTTAAGTAAAGGAGTTTCTTGTAAGCATTTGAAGTCGGCCCAGCCGAGAGAAGCTCCTCAGACATCCCTACGGAGAACCACCTGAAAACCTTGGCAAAGGGACGTAGGAGGGGATTATACAGCAGGATTCAACAAAGGTCCTGGCCAGGGTGGACCCGTTAGCAGAGGGCAGCTGACTGTATAGGACAGCCACACATCAGGGCCCGCTCTCTGCCCACGAGACCATGCTTGCCGGGCTAGACTTCCTCCGTGATAGGCTTCTAGATCCTGACTGGGTCATGAAGGGCTTTTCTGGACTTCCACTGTGATAGTGGAGTATAACTCCTGCTTCTGCTGCCTGGGGACCCAATGCTGCCAAAGGAATTTCAAATGATGACAATGCTCCCGGGCCCTGCGCTGACAGGAAGACCCTGACTGTAGCGCTCACAATAGCCGCGCCTTGCTTAACTGGGAGCTGGTAGGGTTGGTGACTTTTAGAATTAAATCACCTCCTGCTCCTGTCACTTACTGAGGTGGTGGCTGTCCTGTCAAACTTGCCTCCATTGAATACACTGTTTCTCTGCTTTAAGTCGCTTTGAGTCCCACGAAGGTGGACGCATTAGCCTTTTGTAATTAATGTAGCTTCCCGGAGGTGACCACTTTGATCTGAAGAACTGAATTTGCTTCCCGATGATAAAAGGATGGTTGCGCAAGCAGCTAGGAGCAATGTATCAGCAATTCCATGATCTCAGCAGTCACCTGAATATGCTCACGAACAGGCATGCTTTAGGCAAGAACTTGCTTCCCAAGACGTAAAGCTTTAAGCGATACCAAATGAAAGCCGTTTTTATCTATATACCTCTCACAGTCTTTCCTGTTTTAAGAGGCTGCTGCCAGGAGGGGGGTGTTTTTCTGTGAAAGGCGGGGAAGGGAAGCTGAAAGGACAGGAGGGAAGAAATGGAAAGGTAGTCTGTAGAAGTCTAGCAAATTCCAGGCCTTTTCTTGTAATATAAGTTTAGCTAATGTCCTGAATTACCAAACCTTAATTTTCTCATTGGTTCTACCACTATTTGAGTTCCAGTGACTAATTATTGCCGAGAGCAGCATTTTTCAACCTATGAATCCTGAGAAACTAGTGAGGCATAAGTAGCATTTAATTTTTAATGAATTGAAATTAATTGAGCTGGCTAGAAGATATCAAAGCATTATATAAGTTTGTTTCTAAATGGAACTGTTGTTTCTCAAATATTTGGTTTCAATTATAATGCTAGAATTGGAGATGTTTAAAAGCCTGGAAAAGGGAAAAAAACTTTCCTGTTTTCTTCCTTTAAAAGGGGCAGTTATGTTAGCCATATCTGATATCCTATAAACTGTGTAAATTGTGTTTCTTAACATGGGCTACCTGGTCCACCAGCATCAAGAATGTCTTAAACTCGGAATGAAGGCCTTCTCAATCCAATCTAATGAAAGGCATCCCTCAAGGCTATTGCGAATTCAGTTCCAGACCACTGCAATAAATCAAGTATTGTAATTAAGCTAGTCATGCACACCTTTTGGTTTCCTAGGTTATATAAAAGTTCTGTTTATACAATATTGTAGCCTATTAAATGTGCAATAGCATTATGAAAAAGTGAAATCTTGAGAGAATGATCAAAATGTGGCACGGAGACCTTAACTGAGGCACTGGCTATTGGGGGGGCGGGGGGCGGTAAATGGCATTGATAAAGTTTCTTGATGAAGGGTTGCTACAAACTTTCAACTGATAAAAAATGAAATCTCCGCATAGTGCAGTGAAATGAAACACAATAAAGTGCAGGTATGCCTGCACTGTTCGGGGGGGAAACTCACGGGTAATCAGTCGTGCATGCCGGGATACAGTCACTGAGACTGCAAGGGAATCTAGTGCTCAGAAAACCTGTTTCCAGAATGGAGAGAAAGTGCAATCTTTATAGTCAAGTTATTGTATGCAGGTCACAATTCTGATAGAATTGGATAGCACTTAATGGACAATCTTCTCTTTTGATAAAGAAAAACAGAAGTCTAACACTTTCCCCATAACATCTTTGCTTGAGGATGTAACATTCTTAGGAACTTTTTGCTTTTCGTGGCCATGAGAGGGCTTCCTTATTGCTGGCTTCAGCCTTTTCTGCGCAACAAAACACAATATGCTCTCCTGTTAAAAGAGGGGACAATGACCATTCTTCTGTCCATTCAAGACCTTTTTTTTCTTCTTCAACTTTATCATCATCTAGAGCTTAGAAAGGATCAGGAAACACAGTATCTTGTCTGAATTCCCTTTCCATGCAAGATGCCAGTTGACGACATGCAGGACAGGTGGTCAGTCTCTGTTTACACTCTCCGTGGAATGATGATATCTGCTGTCTCAGAAGGCACTCCATTCCAGTAGTCAGACAGAAACCTTCCTCTTATATTAAAAAAAAAACAACCTGCCTCACTTAGCCCAAATTGGCTGACTTTAGATACAAACTGAATTGAAAGGACTCAGTGCCATTGAGTCAATGCTGACTCACAGTGACCCTGCAGGGCAAGGTAGAACTGGCCCTGTGAGTCTCTTTTCTGGAGTAGAAAGCCCTGTCTTTCTCCGGAGAAGTTGCAGGTGGTTTCGAACTCCTCACTTTATGGTTTGCAGCTCAACTTGTAACCACTATACAACCAAAGCTCCTACTTCAGATACAAGCCGAGCTTCAATCTCCTTAATCATAGAGCTATCGCAAATAGTAGAAAGCAGTTACCATGCCTGTCCCTCCCTTCAGGGAAACAAAAGTAGCTTTTTCTTTTTTTTCTTTTCCTGCTAAATATGCCCACTTCTGGTATAATGTTTGCCTCCTCCTCTGGAATCTTATGCTCTTTAATGTATTTGTTCAATATATGTAAATTCACTTGACTCCTGCAATTGAACTCACATTTCTCCAATTCGTCCACAAAGGCATCATGAAATGTTCCATTCAATACCTGTCATCATGATTGCCAGGGGCTAAAGCACTAATAGATAAATAAATTTCATTTCTTGGCCATTTTTATTGCTTGCTAGAGATCACTCTTCCTTTTGCTAAATACTTGAGTTCTTGCTAAATAATAATAATCTACTCAGCAATCCATTCAATTTTCAAGTCCACCTTAATTTCCAGAATCTACCTCTAGTCTATCTGTAAATTGTGCACTAACTATTTTCACCCTGTCTTACTTCCTAAAATAGATCTCCACAGTTTCTCCTTGATTTCTGAAACTTAGATTTTTAAACATCATATGTGGAATCCCTATATACGACCATGAGTGAGGACTGATACCCTTTAATTCCCACCTCTATATGCCACCAATGTCCAAAAGCTAACAAACAAGGAGCTCTGCATTTGAGAAAAAGAAACTCACGGAGTACAACGTCCCCTTTGTGCTTGCAGGATATTTTCCTCATGGAAACATCCGCTTGAAATGAATGATGTCTCATCTAGGTCCGGCTTCTAGCCTGGAAAGATCGATCCCAGAACATGGATCCTTATGAGCAGGAGCCGTTGCCAAGCTTCTCCAAGGCAACACCTCAGATAGAGACGTTGGCCAGACAAAGTCCAGTAAGGTCAAGAAAAGGAAGCTTGCCTTACTTAGAAGTCCAAATCACATACACCTTCTTTTCCTCAAAATTGTTTTCTAAATTGACTTCACACTAGTCATCTTAATGTTATGAAAAAATAGCAAGTCACGCAATTGTCTCCCCTGGAGAAAGAAACCGGTCAATGT